AATATCTGTAGTCACATTAAATATCTTTTCTATAGGCACCTATCATGAAAATTGAGACATAATAATATCCTCCAATTACAGTTTGGAAATGGTTCTTACCCCATGGCTTTGCTGTGTGGGGGCAGTGCTCCAGGGATGGGAGGCCAATTTGGCCTAAACCTCATCAGAGCCATAAAGATCTGCATCTGAAGCATCTTGAAAGTGCAATGGTATGTATGGTAAAAGGAACCTACAAAAGAAGCTGTCCTGAGCAACATACATCAAGTAGCAAGAAATCCTCTATATTCTTCAATTTCCTTGAACAATAATTCATATAGTCTGTCAAAATAACTAGCCTTATTATAAAACTGCCATTTGGTCACAACATTTATTCTCTTCTGAACAGGTTTTCTCATTCCTTTCAGAATGGAAAAGCTGAGAATTACCCAAATTTTCAGCTGCAAACATTTTGCTGAAAATGGCAGGATATTATTTTTCTTTATGAATGAATAATCCATTTCATAGATTTACCACATTTTCTTTTTCCATTAATCTTTTGATGGGCACCTAGACTTATAGTCCAGCTTTCCCATTTTGCAAAGAATACACAAATCAAGACCATACCCTGTGATGAATAGTATTGCAAAGCTAATGTAGTGATGAGAACAATATATTTTATTAAAATAATCCAGACAGTGAACAAGCAAAAATTACATAAAACTGAAACAATCAACAGAAATTAAATCTCAGTGGAAGACCATTGTATCCAGATATTCTGCAATATATTTCTGTGAATACCTAATAAGAACCAAAATTATAAAACACACAAGACAAAGGAAAGTCTGCCCAATATATTGGAGGAAGAGCAAGAGACCGAAATGCTGAGAGCAGTCTGATGTCAGATTAAGAAAAAAAAAAAATTAAAAGAAGCCATTATAAATGTGATGAAAAAAAACAAAAAATGCATTAGGAAAATTTTATATGATAATGGAAATAATAAAGGAAAATACATGGATTACAAAAATGAACCAAAGCTGTGATGATCTTAAATTTAAAATATTCACATGCCACAGAAAACAATTAAGTGTGTAAAGATAGAGCATATAGAATGGGAGAAAATCTTTGCCAGGTACTCCTCTGACAGGAGATTAATAGCTATAATATATATGTATATAGAACTCAATCAACTTAATCCAATATAATAACACAATCAATAAATAGGCAAAATAACTAAATAGTTATTTCACAAAATATGGAATGCAAATAACTACTGCAAATAACTTTAGTGAGATGTTGAGAAAAAGGTTCACTTATACATTGATGGTAGAACTGTAAATTAGTTGCTATCATACTTAACGAGCTTGTTTATAATCATAGTGATCAAAAATAAAAATATATAATGAACAATGAAAAGCAATAAACAAGTAATCCAAATATATTACTTGAATAAACAATTTAACCATAATTGAAGACTATATTTGGAGAAAGAAAGAAAGTACAACCAAATTAGAAAAAAAAATTCAACATATGTGTCCTAAAACCTTCCTCATTGATATTTGCCTTGAATAGATTAAAATCAAAATGTTTAACACTATTACTTACAAGATACAAACTTCAGTACAAATGCACAGGAGTGGAATAGCTGGATAAAACAGTAATTTCTTTTCAAGTCTTTTGAAGACTCTCCATATTGAATTCAAAGTGAAGATTTAATAATTTGAAATCCCACTAACTTTGTATAAGTATCCCTTTCTTCTTGCATACTCTCCAGTATTCATTATTATTTATATTCTAAATAATCACTATTTTAACTTGGGTAAGATAAAAATCTCTGTGTAGTTTTTATTTGAGTTTCCTTGATTGATAGCATTGAACATTTTTTCCTATATTTTTGGCCATTTCCATTTATTCTTTTGAAAAAATGTCTCTTTACTGCCCAACTTCTAGCCTTCCAATGTTTACAATAGCACAATTTACAATAACCAAAATATGGTACTAGCCTACTTTGTCTATCAATTGGTGAACAGAGAAAGAAAATGTGTTACATATACAAATTGAGTTCTACTCAGCCATAAAGAAGAATCAAATTATGTCATTTTCAGGCCAATGGTTGGAATTAGAGAATATCATGCCTAGTGAAATGGAGTTCTACTCAGTCGTACTCAAGATCTGAAAGTTTTCTCTCATATACAGATACTGGAGGAAAAAATGAAAATAAAAAGAGGACTGAAAAACATATAAGAAGATCATTAAGGGACAAGTAGATCAAAGAGTTAGGAGGCATGAAAAGAAAGGAGAACTGGGGAAATAAATTGACCGAATTATACTATATGCATGCATGAATGTACCACAATGAATTCCACTTTTCATGTTTAATTTTAATACACCAATGAAAAAATTATACATGTAAATAAATAGAAGGAAGACCAGAAGAATAGAGGTAAGTAAATGGTGGCATGGAAGATAGAAGTGATATGGGAAGTACTGAGGAATTAATTGGAGCAAATTATGTTATGTGTGTATGTAAACATGTCACAATAAACCCTATTATTTTGCATAATTATAATGTACTGATTAAATATTAAAAAAGAAACTCATTTTAACTCTAATGGCACACATAGACTTTCAATGCAGTAATAAATGAGATATCCCATGAAAATATAAGCCAAAAAAGCCATATTTATGTTAGATAAAATAAATATTAAACCAAAGCAGAAGAAAAAAACTTAAGTCATTACATAACAGCAAGGTATTCAATTCAGAAATGAACAATTCCAAATATACATTCACCAATTATCAGAGTGTATATATATATATATATATATATATATATATATATATCATATTATAAAATACAAAGGAGAGATACACTCCAATAAAATATTAGTGGGTGCCAAGGTCTCGGCTTGGCACCAGAATCAGGAGGCACCACAGCTTTGTAGGTTCAAACAGCAATTCTTTATTCCCGCTCTCACACCGCCTCCACACAGGTCCAGGGGCAATCGCGTTCTGCCGTCTCCCGCACAATTCACCTACTCCACGAGGCTATCTCCAAATCCCATTTTAATCTCATGAGAACTCAATGGGAACAAGCAGCAGGAACACCCTAATCCCAGCAATAATCTTCAATTTCCAACTTCCCTAAAACCCATTATCTTAAACTGGCAACGCCTTAAACTCAAGGAGCCAGTTACTTCCTCAAACCTGATCAGCTCTAAACCCGGATCCGCCTTGGTCCTTGAGCAAGGTCACCTTATTAAAGCATGCATGCAATGTCCCATCGAATGTCCTCTAAGCAGCATGGGGTATGCTTGGCAAGGAAATTTCGATGCGTCATTCCTACTTGGTAATGGCCCTCAGCAGTGGGAGTCTTTATGTCCACATTCTCAGCCATGGAGATCATCCAGGAAATAAAACATCAACAAAAAAATAACAGTTAAAATATGTTCTGAATCAAATGGACCTAATAGAAGTTTATATGAAATGTCCAATCCAACAGATGCAGAATACCCATTATTCCCAATCATACATAGTATATTCTCCACAATAGACCATACAACAGGTAACAAAACAAGTCTTATCACAGCATTGTTATATTATTTTTTGTTTGTGATTTTTATTTGCTTGTTTTAGTGGATATTAAAAGCAGAAATGCTTTATCACTGAGCTAAATTCCCAGTTCTTTCTATTTATTTATTTTTATTTTAAGGCAGAGTCTACCTAAGTTTCTGGGCCTGTACTGGAACTTGAAATCATTCTGTCTCATGTTCCCAAATTACTGGGAATCCAAGAGTGTCCCCCTGTGCCTGACATATAAATACTCTCAAAAAATTAAATACTTAAATAACATTGAGTATATTTTATAACCACACAATAAAAACTACAAATCAATAAGAAAAGAAAGTTGGAAAACATGGAAGTTAAACAACTTACCAATGAACAAGAAATTGATCTAGGAAGAAATCAAGAAAGAAATTTTTAATGTTTCTGGAAACAACATATAAAATTATATGAAATATGGTAAGAACAACATTAAGAGGGTCATTTATAGCAATATAGGCCCACATCAAAAAACAGAAAGATCTCAAATTATTAAATTCTGCTGCATCTCATGGAATTGAAGAAGAACAAATAAACCCTACTTTATTAGAAGTAAATAAATACTAATGATCAGAGTAGAAATAAATAAAATGGTCAATACAAGCTGAAAAATAAAGACCTATTTAAAAATATATTTAAAATGGAAAAACCCATAGTTACATCTATCAGAAAAAAAAAAGAAAGGAGAGAAGACTTGAGTGAATTCATAGATAAAAAGGAAGGTATTATAACTAACATCACAGAAACATAAATATCATGAGATTATTATGCAAAATAAGGCCAACAGACTTGATAACCTTGACAAAATTACAAAATTCCCAGACACATACACATTAGTCAAGACTGAATAATGAAGAAATAGAAAACATAAGCAGATTCATATGAAGTAACTTGATTGAATCAAGAATAAAATGTCTCTTATTGAAGAAAAGCACAGGACCACATGGCTTCATTGTTGATTGATATCAAATATTTAAATAAGAGTTAACAATTCTGTCTTCGGGAATGAGGTCTTGCAAACATATTCTTTAAGGGCAGCATTACCCTCATCAAAACTAATAAAGGTCACAATAAATATGAAAACTATACAGCATGGTGGAGGGGGAGCAAAGATGGAATTGAGGAAGACTGAATTTTCAAGTTTTCTGCAATTCAGAGTTGAAGCAGCAGGAATACTACTTCTCAGTGAGAATGACTGAGGAAATTTACTGAAATTCAATAATGGGTTGAAGGCCAAGAAAGATCCAGAAATTCTGGTGTTTTAAACCAAGGATAAAAGATTATCCATAGGCAGGGAGTCACAGCAGCCTTGGAGGCCACGGCAGCTGAACCCATGGCTCTGTCACAGAGCACTCCTGTTGTCCTGGAGGCTCTGCAGGGAGCCTCCACAACCCCTGATCCTGTTATGGGCACCCTCACAGCAGCATTTCATCAGCCCTAGGCCCAGGTGCTGCCTGCAAGCGAGAGCTGATTCCGCTTTCTGGTGATCCCTGTATAGCTGCAGCAAGATCCTACCCAACAAATGGTGCTCAATATGTACATGGTCAAGATTGGAAAATCATACCCAAATTCTATTGTTGTCCAATTGAAGGGTACCCTAGAGGTCTCGGAAGATCATTTTCTCAGTTTTCTCTCGTAAAAGAGCACTTTTTGAAAATGCATGCTGAGAAGCAGCATAAATGCAATGAGTGCAGCAGTGCCTATTGTACAAAGTTAAACTTGATAAGGCAAACAGAAGAATGTTGCAAGACATTCCAGTGCACATGCCACTGTCCCTACCCAGCAGAACAACATTACAGTCTCACATTTGGTATGAGATCCCTGCAGAACATAGAGATCCACTTATTAAAAGCAAATGGAAACTACCAACAAAACCAGAAGTTATCTATTAAGACCATTGAACCAGTGAGCACCCAATTAACCCCTCAATCAAATGCTCAAGAACTATAAACTTCAGATATAAAATTAATAACCTCTTTTGTAGGTTCATGCAGCTTTAATGCCATATAGCAGAGTGTCACAACACCTCTGAGATATCCTAAGAAATGGTTCTACCAAAGACCAAAGTGGCTCTGGTTAAACTTCCTGTGCCTTTCTTTTGCCTACCTCTGACTCTTTGCCTGAGCCTGTGGCAGTTCGGTTAGAATTAGGACTCTACCGCAGGTCCTTGGTACTTGGAGCCCTTAACAGTAGGAACCCTAAGCCTTTGCCAAGAGTCAGAGGCTTGCTGTCTTAAAGAGAGCATACCTCTTTAAAAATTATAAATCCTGTTGTTGAGCCAGTAAGTACCAGCATTGAAATGAACTTTGTTAAAATCTGTATAATGTTTTATAAGTGAATACATATCAAAAGAATGGTATTTCTTCAATCAATATACAGATGGATCTGTCCTATGCCTCATAAAACCTTATACCTTCTTGCACAGTGGTTTGGCCTTGACTCCTCCATGTCATTTTGTTCTCAGACTTATCTGTCACTTGGTTCTCAAGAATCCCTTTTCATTAGTATTTATACCCAGATGCTTCTGAACATTTCTGTGGTAACTTTATCTATAGCTTCTCAGAGTGATGTGTTTATGGACCCTTGTTATCAGCCTGGTGGTATCTCCAGAGAAACCCAGACCAGTTGGATGCAAACTCCTGCAGAAGGCCAAGTACAGAGGGGAAAAGCTAGAATGTACAGAGACATTTTTGAGAGTGTACTTTCATCTCACAGTGTTCCTGCAGACAATTTTATAAGCAGCAGCTTAGTAGCAGAGACAGTTACTCATAGTTTGTTAACTCAGAATGATCCTAAGACTTTAAATCAACATATTGAGAAATCTGCTCCAATTTGGGGCTTCAATGCACAGAATAGTATGCTTCCTTCACAGAACATGACAGATAATCAGACCCAAGCCATAGAATTATTAAGTGATTTAGAAAACATCTTCTGAAGTAATCTGCCTCATCAGACATCGGATAATTGTGGTTTTTGTCTGATGCAAATGGTGGGCCTGACACTCAGATGCCATCTGGCCAAATCCAGAATCCTGAAATAGGTTTTGATATTGAAGAATTCTTCCCAGCTTCAAATATCCAGACTGAAACTGAACATAGTGAATTTAGCACTGGGAACACTGAGCCAGTCTTGGAATCACTGGACATAGAGATTCATACTCACTTCTTAATTTCAGACTCATCTGCCCAGCCCTATGGTTGCAGGGCAAATTCTCACTTCCTAGGCCTTGAGATATTTGACACACAAATGCAGACAGACTTAAACTTTTTAGACAGTAGTGCTCATCTGCCCCTTGGCAGCATCCTGAAACACTCCAGCTTTTCCATGGGCAATAATTCATCTGACACAGAGACCCAGATTGAAGGACTCTCCTCTGCTCCAAACCTATCTGATCTGGAGGTTCATTAAATAGTACAGAAACACAGAACAAGTGTTCAAGTTTTGAAACCCTGGATAGCTGGTTCTTCACCATCAATAAAACTCAGACAGCAATGGATGACTTTCTTCTGGCCAACTTCTCCTGGAACATGATGAAGTCCCTGTTCAGCTCTGCAGAAATTCAGATGTGTCCCTACCCGCACACAATCTCCAACTCTAAATATAAAGTCCACATAGGATGGTGCTTACCATTTCCTTCCAGATGTAGAAAATTGTGAGAAGCGACAACAGTAGTAACTTTGTTGAATGTAGCTGATAATGCAGTTTCTTAGATTCTTTGTGGGTTCATTGCCTTTTGTACACATAAACATGAATTTGTATATAAATGTATTATAAAGTATAAGATGTTGATCCAAAAAAATAAATTGGGCGTGTGTAACAGTGGTCCACTTTATGCTTTGACTATAACACTTGCTGCTCTACCACTGCAATTTATTTTTTAAAAATGGACAAATTTCTTTCTCTTACTCTCTCCCTGCTTCTTCCTAAACTCTCCCCCTCTCTAATCTTAGGGGAAATAGGATTATCTTTTTTCCTTATCCTAGACAGTTATCTGTCCCTGAGTACACACCCACTATAGAATTGATAGTACCGGAAGATCTCAGAACCAAATATCTCCCAAATTAACAAGTGAATTACAACTCCAGACAGAGAACACATGGAATGTAGCCTTTGAGTCACTCTTTGAAAGCCCTTATTCCTACTGATGGACAGTATCTCAGCCTTTAGGATAGTAATCTCCCTTTTTTCTCCTTTGCTAGAAAAGCAATAAACCTTCATTTTTCCTTTTCTCAAAACCATATCCTTGTTATTAGATTGGCATTAGGGACAAGGACTGAGCTTTTGGAGACAAATTTGGCACCTCAGATAGGACCAAGCGTGGCCCCCACTCCAGTTTTCTTGGGCTGGCCTGGCTTTCCACGGAGCCCCACCTCCCACTTCTATGCTGAGGATTCATGGTGCTGGTGAACTTGTTGAGAGCCAACTGCAGGAGAGTTAGGGGAGCAGTGAATTTGCCTTGGGTGGCATCAGAGAAGCTATTTCTGTGAGTAAAGGGAGTAACTGAGTAACCATTCCAGCAGGTGCTAATACTCCTTTTGCTTTGGGGAATATAGTCACCAAGTCAGTTGGGGTGGCAATACCAGGTCACAGAAGAGGGGAGTAACAAAAAAGAAAAGAGAGAAAAACACTGAAGACAGATATTTCATGGACGCACCTGTAAAACAGAAAGGCAATCTAAATTTACACACAAGCTACTATATGAAAAGTGCCCTATGTTTCTCAACTTGTGAACAGATAACTAAGGTAGGGAGACAACTTGTGGTGCTCCTTCATGAACATGCTGCTGCAGGAATTCTGGAGATCACAATAAATATTTGACATTGCCTTACCAATACATATCTGTGGCCCATGGTGCTCCTACAGAAATTCAATTGAAATGGGAAAACAGATTTTATCCAGTGTGATTCAGATCATAGATGTAAAGGAAAGCCTGAAAGGTGAGTGACTCATCCAAGACAATGATTCAACCAAGAGATTTTTATTGGAGGGCTGTGGAGGGAGAGGCAGAGAGCAGAGAGAGGAGAGGAGGAGGGCAGAGAGAGAGAAGAAAGATTGTGCTTACAAGCTTCGGCTTAAGAAGGGTTGCATAGGGAATGTGGTGGGTGCTGATTGGCAGGGTGTCTCAGGAATAGCAAGTGGACACTGTGTCTTGTAGGGATTGGTTGAGGAAACCTATGAATTTAGTGCTCTTGACATGGTGCCCTTTGGAGAGGAGGGGGAGGGGTAAGGGATTCCATGATGTTCTCCTGAGAATGGGGAGTCTCCCACACACCCAACATTCCTCCCTTCTTGTTTTTGTGTTGGGAGCAGGGCAATGAGATCCTCTGCCGACTTCCTGCTGGAGAGCAAAATGAGGAGTGTGAAGGAAGGGAGGGATGGTCAGGGTGCAGGGACAAGAGAAACATAGCTGTAAAGGCCAGGGCACTGAAGATGTGAATTTCCCTGGGGCCAAAATCGATGAAAGTTCCTCGAAGCCATAGGTCTTGGATAGTCTCCATCCAATCCTTGTCCCTGCAAATGGGGGGAGTCAGCCAGCTGTCCTGTCGCAGGGCCTCCGCGAACTCCACAATCCAGGTGCACCACATGATGAGCCTAAGAACACCAAAGATACTGAAGGCAAGGAGAAGAAGAGGGAAGAGGAGACACCACATTAGCTTCTGGCTGGAGGCCCAGTGAGAGGGACTGGCTGAGAAAGACCAGCGGTCAGGAGGAGGCACGAAAGCGAATGGGCCTAGAAACCCTGGGTGACAGGCTAGTGAAGTTCCCGCAGTCATGTTTCCATTTTGTAGCTCCATATCCATGATGGTGAAGTTCTGTCAGCTGTTGGTGAGGCCTTCACGTAAGGGATAGGTGTCCTCCAAGGGAGCAAGTAGCTGGAAATCCCTGAGGAGAAGCATCAACACCAGAAGCCCATTTTGGGTCCCTTGGGTCTCAAATAGTTAATTTGGTGTATGCTTGATTCTCATAGCAAGGCTCGTCTAGGAAGCTTTCTTGCATGAATTATAAGGGCACTTGCCATAAGTGTCAGGCCAGCATTTATAGGATTCCTCAGTCTGTTCTGCTATGAAGCACAGCAGGTGGAAAATTGGTCCCTCAGAGATAATCCTGTGGTGGTATTGTAGTCCCAATTAGGGTCCTGAGTAGAAACTGCCTGGGGCCTAGAGGGTGGGTCAGGGTGGTTTGAGGGACCTCATCAGCACAATTATGGGCTGGTTCCCAGACCCACCTGCATTCCTTTGGGAGAAGGGTATTGGCCAGGATCATGTAAATGTCATGAAAAGTGAGACTATAGGCTTGAAGTAAGTACTGAAACTCCATTATGGCAGAGTTGGTGGTGTAGGAACCCAAGCATTTTTCAATCTGTGAAAGGTCCACTATGGAGAAGGGCACATGGACCCTAAAGATTCCTACTGCCACAGCAACCTCTCTCAAAGGAGCCATAATTGAAATAGATTGTGGCTGGAAAGACTGTGCAGGAAAGGGTGACTGGAGGACTGAAAGAAGATGTGGGGGCAGGGCCTGAAAAAGGAGGAGTCAGAGGGGTGGGGACTGGCACAGAGAGGAGAGTGGGGGGAGGGTTTTGTGAGACCCGTGGCTGAGGAGGCAGAAAGAGAGGAGGCCAAGAGGACATGCTTTGGGTTGCAATAGGTACAGAAAGAGTCACATTCGAGAAAAGGAAGAAGAAAGCCTGAGTATATAAAATCTCTAAACATTTTTTGATGCCACACAATAATTGTAGAGATCAGGCAAAATGGCAGCATCTAAGGACTCATAAGGGATCCAGTGGTTTTGGTTCTCTAAGGGATAATTGGGCCAATCCTGAGTAGAGAATTTTTTCAGTTTCTTGGGATTGATCTCCGGGGTTCAAGGGTGTCCAAATTTTTGAGGAGGCATTTGAGAGGGGAGTCTGCGGGTAGAGAGGAGGCACCCCCCATGGGGCTAGGAAGGATATGATGCGTTGACTGGAGAGGTGTCCCACTTGAGCCAAATACCAGAATGAGACCTCAAGGCAAGCATATGGTTGCCACTGAAAATCTTCTGGTGAGGTGCCCTCCTGGAGGGCCCTGGGAGTTATGGGTCACCTGGTGCCAGGGTTTCCAACCAAAAGGGGGAAAGAGAAGACCCACGCTGGAGTAGGGGAGGGTGTTTGTCAGTTCTTAAGCTGGCCGAGGTCTGTTGGAAGGGGAAGACTCCAAGAGGACCACTGCGATGGTGAAGGTCTGGGTGGGGTGTATTCCTCCCCACGAGACACCACAGGGGCTGCCGGATGATCAAGGGCCAGTTCCCAGTTACCGTGCCTCGGTGGGTTTAGGAGTCTGGAGAAGGGGACTCATCAATTTGTAGGCCAATGGTGGATGTGAAGTAGGTGATCGAGATGGGCACAGGTTGGTCTCCGTTCAGGTAGTGATGTCCAATGGGATGGGGGTCCTGTTTAAAAGCAGGGGAGCCCCATCTGAGTCAGGGCACCAATAAAAGGCAAGTGACTCACCTGAGATGGACATTCAACCAAGAGATTTATTCGGTGGTTGCCTGAAGGAGAGGCAGAGAGCAGAGAGAGAAGAGGAGAAGGGCAGAAAGAGAGAGAGAAAGGGTGGAGAGAGGAGAGAAAGAAGAGGAAGAGGGCAGAGAGTAGAGAAGAAGAGAGCAGAGAGAGAAAAGAGAAGAAAGAATGTGTGTGCATACAAGTTTCGGCTTAAGAAGGGTTGCTTAGGGGATGTGGCAGGTGTTGATTGGCAGGGTGACTCAGGAACAGCTAGTGGACGATGTTTCCTGTGGCGATTGGTTGAGGGGGTACATGCAATCAATGTACGTGTGTTTGTGAAACAAATGAGCAGGCATGTTTATCTGTAGACTCATCCTTGTTAGGTCATGGTTTTGGTTGGTGGAGTGGATGGTTTTGGCATGTCCCCTATGGAGTTCTCATGAGGTTTGGGATCATTTAGTCACAAGGGGTGGGTCATGATGAATTATTGGCAAGAGATAATATCTTGAAGCAAAAGTTTCCCCAGGGGTCTGGCAATCAGTCATGCTGGGAGAAGGTCTGGCATATTAGCCCCCAATTTTCCTATATTTATCTATATTGATAAGAATTCCTATTATCTCCATTCCTGTGACTTGTGGATTCTTTTTGATGTATATGTCTGATGTCCTTCCTATAATTTACAGCCCTTTATTGTACTTTACCTACCCAACCGTTTGTGTCTAACTATCTAACTAATATTTTTTTCCCCTCAAGAAGTTGGGGCCCTAATAGTTTTAGGTTAATTTGATACGAATTCGTTATGACTGCTTCCTGTTGAGAGAGGGTGATGAGGGAAGGTAAATTTCTTTTTTTTCTGTCAGGTGAGAGATGAGAAGTTAAGAGTTTTTAGCATTGGGGTAATCCAGAGGTCCATGGTAAATGTTAGGATAAACAAGGGATCTAAATCTAGGGGTGTATAAAGGCAGGAATAGGACAGGAATTCTTCTAAGATAACTACAATACAGACAGAAAAGCATTATTTTTTCGCAATTATCATGTTTTTTCATCAGTCAGTTTCTGAAAAACATGGAGATGATGACTTATTAAAGCTTAGTATGGGGTCCTATATGTCATTGATTTGTGAGTGAAAGTTATATAGTATTTAGAAACATTAGCAGATTTGTCAGGAATATA